TTCCCGGATTATTGCACCCCGGAGGTGACTGAGATGATAGCGGGGGACTGGCTGATGTCCAGTATCTCGGACTTGGTCTTTACGTACTGAGTCCCCGCCAGGTAACTCTCTCTCTCTCTCTCGCTCGCTTCTCCGCAATCAGGTTGTTATCAAAAAGAGAAAGAGGGAAAAAAAAGGAAAAGAAACCCAGCTGTTTACATGCAGGAATCAGGTATCTCCATTTTCCTTGCCTTGGCTGCATTCAAAGGCAAGCTTCCCATCAGCCCATCCCCCAACCCGGCACACACCCACTTGGCGAGCGTCTGCCGGCTCAGCTCGGAGTGGTGGGGCTGGGCTCCTCGCCGCCTCTCGCCCCCCACGAGCCACTGAGAGCTCCTGGCTTGGCTTGTCGCAGTGCTTATTTACCCATGAAATTTGACTGTCTAATCAGGTTTTTTCTCTCTCCCCATTGTAACCCTCTCCTCCTTAAGACCCCCCAACCGACACTCCCCCCTCCTCCGGCTTGCAGCAGCTGCTCCTCCGCTCTGCCGCCATCCGTGGCTGAGATCCTCCCCCTCCATCTCGGCTTCCATCCCACCCCGTTCCTCTCCTCTCCTCCACTGCTTCCCCCTTCCCTCCATTTGGTCCTGGGCTTCACACCTTCTGGTTAGGGGAAGACCCCCCCCCTTGAGCATCTGGTCTGCCGCTGCTTCTCTCGGCTTTGATTTCGCTGCCATTTCCTTCTCGGGTTTTCCCCCCTCCCTTCTCTTCCATTTGAAATGGCTCCCGGGTTAAAAAGAATATCTATATTCCAGTCGGATCCCATCAGGTCGGTAGAGGCGAAGGATCCCCGTCGTCCTTTGCCGGTTTCTGGCGCCCGGTTCGGGTCGGGCTTCCGAATCCTCGTCGGACGAGATTTTCGTCTCGCGAATGCGCGAAAACGCATTCCCGAACTGGGGTGGGAAGGATTCACTTTGGGGGAAAAGAGAGGATGCGCCCACGTGGTATGCACGTGGATCCGAGACAGAGGCGCTCCCCGCACGTGTAGGAGCATTGCGCCCTCCCCAAAAAGGAACCTTCCCCCCCCTACAGAGGTGTGCCACGAGCAGCAGAAAAACCTTTTGGTCCCTTCCTCTTGCATGCCGCTTTGAAATGAGATGATCGCAAAATCGTTGGCAGGTTTTGCTGCCACGTTCCGGCTTCTCCGGGTACCGGGCACCCACCTCCTGGCAGCGAATGGCATGGGCGAGGCTTAGTAGAAACAGAGAGGATTTCTCTTGGCGTCTCTGGGACAGGAAGGCGTGCCTTTGAGGCCCACCCGAGAAACGATAGGGCATTCCCGTTCCCCTCGGAGGGCTGTGACTTTCCTTGAAGGTCAAATCCAGGTGCCCTGCTTCCTGCCAGGAGGTGCCTCGCCGTGGCTTCTTGCCAGTGGGGCAGTGCCAAAGGCAGGGGACTCCGCCGAAGCTCTCCAGCAGGAGAAACGCTGCCGGTCGGCTTGGGTGTCTGTCTCCCTGCCGGGCAGCCGCCGGTTCCTTCCCATCTCCGCCCTGTCAATGGAGTCCAATCCAGCAGGGTGCTGCTGGGGCGTGTAGATCACGAGGCTGGGCATGCCGGTGCCGAGAGGGGAGGGCAGGCATCGGTTTTCTGTGCGCAGCCACCGTGGACAGCAGCAAAGCAGGTCTGGGGCAGTGGCACTGTGGCCGGCACAGGCTGTGGAGTCCGGGGACCCCCTTTGCCGTCGCTCCTAGCAAGAGAACGGCAGGGCTTGGCCCGTCCGTCCAGAGATGCGGAGTCGAGACGTGGGGCAGGGTGGGAAGCCCTTGCCAAAAGCTGAGCCTCCCTCGCCCAGCTCGGAGGGGGCTTGGGTGGTATTTGACAGCCGACGACCGGAAGGGTCGAGATTCTCACAGACCTTCCGGGAAGCGAATGGGAGCAGAAGGGCATGACCTACCCTGGTAGGAAGGCAGGTTCGTTTTTCCTCATTCCCGCCTCCCCGCAAAATAAATCAGGAGCTCAGTGGCATTTTGTGCGCGTCAATTCTGACTTACAGTGACGCTGTGGGGTTTTCAAGGCAAGACACGTTCAGGCACGTAGCAGCCCTGGAGTTCCTTGGTGGAATTCTCCATTGCCTGCCTCTGCGTAGCAACCCTGGGCTTCCTTGGTGGCCTCCCATCCAAGCACTAACCAGAGCCGACCCTGCTTCGCTTCCAAGATCTGATGAGATCGGGTTAGCCTGGGCCATCCAGGTCCGGGTGACCCTCTAAATTAATGACCTCCAAAGCATCCTCTCATCCAGGGGTCCTTTCGTAGAAAAAGAGGTGCAGGAGCTCATTAGCATAGCTCATTAGCATAACTCATTTGCATATGCCACACCCCCTGACATCACCGGAAGTGTGTCAGAAGGCGACACCCACCACTCAGGCTCCACTGAACTGTTTTGGATTGTTAGCTGCTGGGGGACGGAACATGCAGATCTGTCCTCGCAGAGGAGGGAGAGCTGGTACCTGAATAAAACTTGGTCTTAAAGGTGCCACTGGACTGTTTTGGGTGGGGGAGGGGCTCTGCAACTTACCTTGTTGCTTCTTACTCTGACTGAGGGCTGTTGGGAGCAGGGGGCGGGGCTTGTTGCATGTGCCCGCCCCCTGGGCTCTTTACTGCCGGAGCTCCGCTCCTGTGCGCTCCCGCAGGAAATGACCCCTGCTCTCATCAACAGCCTTGCTCAGGTCTTGCAAAAGTGGCCCTGGTGGACATTATCGGACTGTATCCCACCGTGAGCCCTTCCTTCACTTCATCAGATGCATTGGCTCCTACATGGACATACGCATCGTGCACCTGACTAAGCGATCCTTGACTCCCGGAATCTGAGGCAGGAGTCAGTCTCTAACGTGCCACTAGACTCCTGATTTACTTTGCTGCCACTGACTAACACGACGACTTCCCCGGAACTAACCCCCGGGCCGGGAATCCTGGGAATTGTAGTTTTGTGAGGCGGCAAAGAATTTCTTGTTGGATCTGCTTGCGCCCCTTTGCAGAATTACGCTTTCCCCCAGATTCCATGCGCAGAAGCCGGGTTAGTTCAACCATTTGAAATTGAGTAGGGTAGACAAGCCGTTGCGTCGTATGGACAAAACGTTTTTATTTTCCGAACCCTGCCATCGGCTTCACAAATGTGGGCCGCTCGGTGTGCAGTAATTAGGGGGGAGGGAGGCGATACGGGAATTCTCCCCTACCCCTATTCTGTAGTTCTGCTCTTGCAAATTCTTTCACGGCATTCTCATTCCCAAACTAGAAGTCTCAGGATTCCTCGAAGAAAACTATGGCAATAAAATCGGGTTTTAACTTGATTTTTCCTCTTAAGGCATTTCCCCACCTTTGAGCCTCTGTTGAGCTATCATTTCCTGGCAGAAGTCATTCATCCTTCCCGCTGAGTGTATTCTGCCCAATGGGAGGCTTACATTTCCATCACAAACTGGATCCGGGAGAAAGGGCTTTAAGACTCGGGTGCAAAAATGGCTGCGACACAGGTGGGTCCATGGAGGGGGGCGGGGCGCATAAGCTCATCCAATCAGCTGTTCGCAGAGGCGGGGCTAGGAGTCAGCCGGCAGGCCTGGAAGAATGCTTGGGCAACCTGGGACCGCACCGATGGGTGCAAAGGGTTGCAACTCAAAAGTGTCCTGCTTTTTGGACCTGAGTGCGAGAGGAGGTATTCTGGCCCGAAGCGGGATCCTGGCCCTCTTCCCCTTTCGGGCCAACGTTCCTTTTGCTGGGATTTTCTGCACTACAGCAGTGTCAACAGTCGGACATTTTTTAAAACACCTCCGCCAAGGGTGGGAGAGGGAGGAATTTCTCCCCCCTTCCCCCGAAACGGAATTCAGAATTGGAATTGGAGGGAAACAGGTCTGAAAACTATTCATCCTTTCTTTGACAATCAACCCCAAACTTAGCAATAGCTTTTGAACTCAGAAAACAGGGTTGCCAACCTCCAGGTGGGGCCTGGGGATCTCCTGGAATTGCAATTCGTCTCTAGGTGACGGGGACCAGCTGCCCCAGAGGAAAGGGCTGCTTTGGAGGACGGACTCTATGGTATTGAACCCAGCCCAGGACCTTCTTTGCCTCAAATCCTGCCCTCTCCAGGCTCCACTCCAAAATCTCCAGCTATTTTTCAACCGGAGTTGGCAACCCTATCCAGACATGCTACGCCAGACGGCCAGATATCTGGGTATTTGGTATATTCAGGTTCAGGCGGGGGGGTGTGTGTGTCTCTCTCTCTTTTTAAAAAAGTTCCCCCCCTTAGAAATACCAGCATTTCATTCTCAGACCCCAGGGGAGGAGAAAAGGGAGGGAAGCCGTGAAAGCTTTTCATCATTCATCAGAGAATCCCTTTGCAACTGTTAGGGACAGGTCCCCCCTCCTCCCCTCCAGCACATAGATTCCATGCGCAGTGGGTTGCAAGAATCCACTGTGGAGCCTGTTTAGTGTAGTGATTAAGTGCGCGGACTCTAATCTGGGAGAACCGGGTTTGATCCCCCACTCCTCCACTTGCACCTGCTGGATGACCTTGGGCAAGCCATAGTTCTGATAAGAGCTGTTCTTGAAAAAGAGCAGTTTCTGTCAGAGCTCTCTCAGCCCCACCTACCTCACAGGGTGTCTGTT